TGCTGACAGGAGCATCACACTGCAGCGTACTTTTTGCAACGGGGCCAATGCCTCCTGCACGCAGTCCGTACGTGCAGAGACAATCTGCTTGGCTTGTTCATCTTCCTTCGTGATCTTCAAATCTCCAAGCTTTAGCTCGTGATGGGGGTTTTCCATCTCGACCGACCGCTAGCCCACTCCAAATTCCAACAACCCCCTGGCAAACTTGCAGGTTTATTCGGTGGATGCTGCTAGATTGGCGCGAGTGGCCTCGCAGCTGAAATCTGGCATCGTATGGGAGAACTGCTCGCAGGTCCTTGGGCCCAGAGCCGGGGAAGCGTGGCTGCCCCCCCCTACATAATTTCGAACAATGGGGTGGGATGTATTGGATGTTCATGATATAGCTGGTAGCATCAAGAGATGCGTCCATGTTTCATGTCTCACAATCCTGTTGGCAGCCTCGTTACCCGGATTGTGGCTTGATGAAGACTCCACTCCGTCTGCTGTCCATCGGCCAGACTCATTTCGAGTTCAAGGGCTCGTGCGAGGCCTCCTAAAACCCTTGAACCCCTAAGCCCAAACCCTGAACCAACAGCTCTAAACCTTTGCTCCCGGCATGATGAGCAGTTCAGCTGAGACTTAACAGAGTATGAACAAGACGGGTACCATAGAAATTACCCACACGATTCCTAGCGGTCCTTATTATAACTAGAACTACATGTGGAACCAGAGACTGGCGGCCTTCAAAGCGAAGGCGAAGACACTCGAAACTCTAAGGCAACAAGGGGTTGCAAGGTCAGTTTCTAAGGCGTAGTCTAGGGGCCTTCATGATGAGAACAGCGTTCCTTTGAGGGGTTCATTTCCCGGAATCCTTCACCCACAGCTCAGACTGTCTAACTTCGGGCAGGTCCTCTTTCCGTCCACCCCTTTCGGCGGCAAGAAGGCTTGTGGACCCGCCGTTGCTGCCTTTTGTGGCCAAGAACAATAACACTGCAGTAGGTTTAGGATATTGAACCGAGGTGTTATGGTGCAGAAACAACATGGAGAACAGCAACCTCAGCAGCAACAGCAACAACGAAGCCACAGAATCCAATCAAAAAGCAGCACTTGAGCAGGACCCGTTGAATTCAAAGCCAATGCAGCCATGAGGAAGGAACCCTTGCACGTCCAAAAGACTTACAGCAAGGAGTCTGAAGATCTCCGCAAGCCCCGAGATTTCGAAACTTGCTCGGGTAACATCCCTTCGGCGTCACAGCCTTCCACACAGTAATTCCTAGCAGGAAGCCTTCGAGCCTCATAGCAATCCCTACACTCTGAACCGCCTAAACTGGGCCTATACCCTAGCTTCAGATCTTCAAGCTTTAGCAGGTCGCTCAAGCTCTAGGGTCCCCCGGAGCCTCAAAAAGCCAGAGTTCAGAATGAAGGACGGCTGATAGTATAACATGCAATGGAGCATGTACTTTACAGAAAGTTATACTGCAGAACGTGGTATTTCGTCCCATAGTTGCAAGTTTGGTTGAAGGAACGCACCTGTGGACCCTTGTAAACCCATCAGCCTTGTTTTCGTCGTTTATTCGGGCCCCGAGATTGGGGCTAGGAAACTTCGACTACCTCCCAAGTCGCGAATCGGAGCGATAAACTTCGACCAAACCTGAAGGTCCTCGACCCTGTCAGCTCTAAGTGCCAAAACAAAGCACTAACACCGAAACCCGGGACTCGATAAACCCTAACGGCCTAGAAGCCCGAACCATGTAAGCCCAAGAACCTCTAGACGCTGAACCCAAAAAGCCTTAATCCCTAAACCCTGAACCCGAAACCCCGAACCCAAAAGCCCGAAACCCGAAACCCCAAACCAAACTACTCCCCTAAACCCTAAACCCAACAAGCCCTAAACCCTAAACCCAACAAGCCCTAAACTCCTAAACCCCTAAAGCCTAAACCCTAAACCCAACAAGCCCTAAACCCTAAACCCAACAAGCCCTAAACTCCTAAACCCTAAACCCTAAACCCAACAAGCCCTAAACTCCTCTAAAGCCTTCAAGGGGAAAGCCAGCGGCTTCGGCTTCGAGCAAGGGCTCGCCGGCCTCAAGGAGCCAGGTCCCTAACGGCATGAAAAAATACATATATATATATATATATATGCATATATATATATATAATTATATATATATGTATGTATGATATAATGAAACATATTGTTTATTGTTATGAAATTTCTTTGTGATTATTGTTGTTTTTTTTATTGTTGTTGTTATTATCATTATTGCTATAATTATTGTTAGGGGTGTACATTGTTCTTTTTGGTGGCGATGTTTAGTAGATCGGATTTGGGATGATTTGGTTGGGGAGCTGCACCGCTACGGTCCTCTTGCTGGTGAATTAAGTACTCGCGACAGCAGATGGCCATGATCTACTAAGTGCAGACTTCAGACTAGATACACCAAGCCCCAAAAAAAAACAAACCCTAAACCCTAGGCCCTAAAAATCCAAACCCAAAAGCCCCAAAAAACCCTAA